AATGCAATGATGGGTATTTAATTCACTTTTCCGTCACCAGTGCCTCTAATTACAGACCTACCTTCTCTCCTACTCACCTAGCATTTTTATCAGGTGAGCTCTCACAGAACTTACATCTTAGACAAAGAAAAAGATAGGGAAATACCTGACAAGAGAAGGTAGAAATAGACTTCCCTGGTGGCCTTTTTTTTTCCCTTTTTTTTCTTCATAGAAAACATCAGAAAAAGAATCTCCTCTATTTCTAGATCTGAAGTGAAATCCATGCCCCTCCTGTTTAAAAACTGTATGCATATGTGTGTGTTTGTGTACACGCATTCCTTAGGATTAAGTTTTACAGAGAAAAGAAATGTTTCATTTGCTTAGAAATGTATCACTGAAAAATAGTACCCCCTGGATATTTTAAAAATTCCACAATAAGGCACTAATTAGAATTGTCTTTTCATTACAGGCCGCATCCTTCCCCATGTCCATTCCTGGAAAATGAGTAATGAATGAAAGGTTAATAACCTGTCAATCAATTCCCATTCACCTGGAGTAGACACTTGGTGACATGCACAGGGAAAACAAATGGGGCCAGAAGAATGTTTAGTCTTCATCTAAGTATTTTAATTATCTACTTAAAGATTTTTAATTTTTATTTATTTATTTTTCAGGGTGGAGGTAATTAGATTGATTTATTTATATAATAGAAGTACTGGGAATTGAACCCAGGACCTCATGCATGCTAGGCATGCACTCCACCCCTGAGCTATATACCCTCCCCTGCTGCTTATACGTTTTTAATATAGAATAAATAGCATTTTTAGAATGCTTAGTTGTCATTGTTGTTTTCATCTGTTCTCTACCACTAAAAGGAAGGGAAAAAAAGGTTCATGGATTAATGTATTGTTAGCTGGATACTTACTGCTTGTATTTTTGGAGGATCTCATTTCCTTGTAACAGGTACTCTGAAGTTCAAGTCCATATCCTTTTTTAAAAAGTAGTGATTTCAGTGCCACTTACTTCTTAGATTTCCAGAATTATACTCTGCCACCCTCTTTGCTTCCTAAAGGAGAAGATATCTAATAACCAACATTACAGATTGAGATCTGCCAACACTAGTTCATTAAGGTCATTAAGTTTTTCTGCTTGGGAGGCCCTACAATCAGGCAAAATGGAAAAAAGTATGAAATTCCATGGTAGGTTTAGAAATGTGCTGTCTTTTGGAACTGCAGGTGATTTCATATTCATAACAATTTAGTCTACTTTAGAGCTAATTATGGTTTCTTATTGCTTTTACTAAAAGTAAGCCTGGAAGTCTAATCTACTATGTTCTGCACCAACAAAAACAGTATGTGTGTTTCTTTTTTCCCCACGTGGGAAAGAGGTTGCAAGAGTTGCCCAGTGGGAAGTGTCTTATAAGCAAAATGAATGAGTTATTTTACACTGCATAAGATTAAAGTGCTGCTTATTTGAAGATATTTAAGGAGATTCTAATGATCTTCAACTTGGTACTATTAGGAAAGAGAAAGATCGAGTTTCCTAGTACTGTGAAAGTGAAATCCGGAAGCACAATGTCCTTTCTGATCCTTCCTCGGTAAATCTCAGGATTGTTTTGAAGAGTCAAAGTCATCTTATGTTTCAGTTCATTGGTAAAGACGGAATAACCAGATAAACTACTCTGTATAAGCTGATACGTGTATATATTTGAATACAGTGGCTCTAGTCTAAGAAGTATATTGGCCACATGATCTCATGGTTTAAAATTTTGTTTTAAATGGCAGCAATACTGTGTCTGACATTTTAGACTCTGTTCACACCATCAAATCTAAGTATGAGGTTAAATAATATTAGTGGTAAACCAAGTGATATAGACAGCTAATTTGCATCGTTTAGATGAAATAAAATGTTTGGATTCAGCATTTGGAGTAAGGTACATGGGTCCATAGGTTCCAGTCCAAGCTCCAGTATTTGACCAAATTGAATTAAAATCTAGATTCTCCCACTTACTAACTGTGCAACCTTGCAGTTGTTTAAACTCTGAAGCCTCAGTTTCCTCACCTCTAATAGAGTTATGAGAGGTAAACAAATAAAACCTGACATGTAGTGAGAACTCTAAACGTTAGCAGAAATATTTACTGTTATTTTTATTTGAAATAAATGTATATGGTGTTCTGGAGAGCAAGGTTTCTCAGTGTTTAAATGTGCACATGAATTCCTTGGGAACCTTGTCTAAGTGCAGATTCTGGTTTAGTGGAACTGGGATGGGGCCTGAGAATCTGCATCTCTAACAAGCTGTCAGGTGAGTATCAGTACTGCTGGACAAAGTTATGCGATAGAAAGAACACAGGCTTTGGATTCATCCTTCTGCAGACTGAAATCCTGGCTCCAAACATGTTAGCAATATGACCTTGGCAAGGTCAGGCTTTCTCATCTCTAAGATGGAGATAGTAATAAGTATTTCTAATGAAATCATTTTTCTTTAAATAAACAATAGTGAACTCAGACAATAACTGACATATTCTAAGTACTTAAGTCTAAGTTCAGTATCAAGTGTGGGAGACTATGACAGTTTTCATTCCTAGAAAAGCTGAAAATTCAGTCTTCCCTGGGAAATTCTTAGAATTTGATCATTATGAAATCAGTGTCAACACGGATTTGAAAATTTATCATTGCATGGCAAGCAAATCAATGCATAGCAGATGTTGTGGGGACGGATGGGGAAAATGCCCTAGGCACGTGGTAGGGCCTAAAGTCAGAGCGGGTAGAATTTCTGCGAGTAACCGAGATAACTGAGGAAAGAAGCCAGCTTGTGAAGTGTTTTATTTTACTAGTAGTATTTTTACCTTTAAGAATATGGAAAATGTCAAGCATACATCACAGTATGGAGACAGTATAATGAACCCATCACTCAGCTTCAGTAGTTACCAGGACATGGCCAGTCTTATTTTAGTTTGACTTCCACCCTCTTCCTCCATCCCTGAATTCTTTTAAAGCAAATCCAAGGCGGTATTATTTTACGCATAAGTATTTCAACGTATCTTTAAATCAAGGACGCTCTTTCTTTAAAAATATAACCATAATACCATTATAATAATTATTTCAAACAAAACTGCAACTATTGAATTGATAACATAAATTTAAATTACCATCCAGTTTTCACTACAGTTAATGAGATGCATATGCACGTTAAAGTAGAATTCAAAACAGCCTCACACTAAAGCACAAAGCAAATATGCTAGTTCCCTAAACATTGCTGTTGTCAAAGTAGGCAGGACAAGCATCCACTGACCTGCAGGACTGCCATCCTCAACATCCCTGCCCTCACTGCTCCAGCTGATTCTTCATTGATCTGCCATGTCTAGGTGTTGATTTCCTTTCCGTATTGTCCTCTGTATTCTGAGCCTTCCCTGCTTAATTCTCTCCAGCTGCAAAGAGACTGCTTTTAACTTTTGCCAGGAGCAAGTCACTCCAGGCAAGCCGATCTGAGTTCTGCACTCTCAGAAAAAGCTTAGAGTTCTAAGATCTCATAAAACGATAGACCTGGAAGGCACTTAGTTCTGCCACTAGATCTGAAAACTAAGGCGCAGCCATGCTAAATGACTTGCTTTACCTTGGGATTACCTAAAAACCTCTCAAAATAAGGGCAGATTATTGCACATCTAATCTGACCTTTCTGCAATGGTGAAATTTCAGTCAAGGAGTTTATTTTATATCTTATTTTATATTTGGTTAGTCTCTCTAACTTCCTGCTAAGGGCTAAACTTTCTTTTTTCATCTTGGACATTTAGAGATATACATTAGATTAGAGCAAAAAAAAAGTTATTAAAAAAAATGAAAGGTTTTTCAGTGTTATTGAAATCCTTCTTGAACCCATATAAAATTTCCATTGTCATTTCTAATTATAAAACATTTCTAACATATAAATACAAAAAAGTAATATCTATTATATTAATATGTATTAACAATATGCACACTGTATAAAAGTAATATAATATCACCATAGAATGTCTTTCCCTCTTAGACCTTTTTTATTGAATATATTTGACATATAACATTTGTATACATTTAAAGCATACAATCCTCCAAGAATTTTTTTAAAGAAAGCCCAGTCTACTCCCATCCCTTTCCAGGCCTTTCTTTCTTAGAGATAGCCTTCATCTTAAAAATAGGTGAATTTCATTCTCATTCAGATGTATATTCATATAGTCAATTATTTTGTATGTTTTAAATTTTTACATGAATTTTATACCATGTGCATATTTTACAAATTGCCTTTTTCACTCAATATTGTATTTTCAGGGTTGGGCCATGTAGATACAGAGGTGGATCTTAGATCATTCATTTTAATTGCTCTATAGAATTCTACTCTATGGATAACCCACAGTTTATTTAATCCACTCTCCCTCAGAGGAACAGTTCTATTAGATACCGTCTGTTAGACTTACCACTAAGTAGCCTATAGTTTTGGTGAATAGGCTAGATGGCATCCTTGTAAATATGTATTGATTCGTTTATTATTTATTATTATGTATTGGAATAATAATAAATTTAAGTTATATAATTGTTGCTTGCTGGTATATCAGCATGCACTTGAATGTTTGTATATTGATTCTGCCTCCACCAATTTTGCTGAACTTTTATTCATTTCAAGTAGATTTTCTTGTGAAGGAATGGTATCTTAGCTCATCATTTTCCTTAGTATTTCTTACTGTAACAATATAGAGAAATTTGGATTTATCAAAATTCTAGGGTAAAGGGTGGCTGAAAGCTAGAGAAACAGATGGCTTGATGGGCCCATTCCTCTTGAGAGGGGCAGCTGGAGCTGGGGGACTGCCTACCAAAGCTCTGTGTTCAGAAAGTGTAGTGGTTTTGGGAAGGGATGTGACCTGAGGCACTAGTTGAGGTCTCATGAGATGGTGGAGGCTGCATCATCTGTGATGTGATGATCCCCTGTGTCTTAACATGTTCTCAGTAAAAACAAAACAATCACCTGCTGAGTCTTATCGGTATTTTCGCAGGAACCACTGAGAAGGTGAAGTTTTGTATCCAGACATGTTGCAGGGACCATAGAACTGAAGCTGCCAGGATCCAGACAAGCAGGAGGAGGTAGAGTCTGAAGTGCTGGAAGGCACTGGAGCTGCCCAGCGCCAGGAAGGAGAATTGAAGCCGCGTTTCCTAAACCACGAGGGTAGGAGAGCCCCCTCCTGACTGGCACCTGACTTTCAGTGTTCTTTGACAGTCATCCGACTTGCATGTTCCCCATGTGAGGTCCACACTGTCAAAAGGCAGGATTCACTCACTTTTTTCCCAAAATTTCTTCTTTCAAGGTTTGAGTTTGCTAATTCTTTGGCCTTCCTTGAATTAGAGTGTTTGTGATCTGAGAGGCATGAGAAAAAGAATCATCTTGAAATTATCTCCCTCACAGCTTGTCATAGGGCAAAATTCCATCATTAGATTCAGTTCCTCAGGGCCCTCTACACAGTAATAAATTATAGCCTTATGTTATCTGAGGAAATAATAAACTAAATGTTAATATAGATTAGTTTATTCATTTAACCCATCACTAAAAAGGAGAAGACAATGGGGAACAGCTTGGAGTCCACAGTCCAACTACCCAAGTTGAATCCTCACTCCTCCACTTACTAACTCTGTGTTATTTGGGGCCATTACTTAACTTCTGTTGCCTTGGTTTCTTCATCTATAAAACAGAGAATAATAAATAGTGCTTACCACATAGGGTGACTATGAAAATTAAATGAGTTAAAATATGCTCAAGCACTGAGAACACTCCCTACCTTGTAGAAAGTGCTATTTATTTTTGGCCTTAAGTACTAATCTTTAGGAAGCAGAACTGGTGGAATGGCCCAAAGGATGGCTTATTTTGAGGCAACAATGAGATGGGGATACTCTACCCACAGTGTATGACTGAAACTATACAATCGGGGGCAGTGGAGGGAAGGGAACATCCAGAATGAGAATGGAGGCTTTAAAGAAGAGGTACCAGATTGAGATGTTTTCTCTTTTGACATTTCAGGTGGAACAAATGTCTAGATGCCAGGTCCTGGCATTTGGTGGATTATAAAAGATCTTCACCAGATGTACCTTCCATAGTGGTCAGCTTTTGCTGAATAATACCACACAAAAGGGCACCCCACAGCTCAGCGGCACATGACACTAAGCATGTGTTTATGGCAGTGGGTCTGCAGGTCAGCCGAGATTGCTTCCAGACTGTGGGTCTGCTCCACAGGGCTCATTCTGTGGTCCAGGCTGAGGGCTAGTGGCTACCTGGGTCATGTTCTTCTCCTAGTGAAAGTCCAAAGCTTCCAGAGGCCTGGGTGCAGAGCTGATAGACTGTCAGTTCTGCCTGCATTCCTCTGGCTGAAACAAGCCACATGGCCAAGTCCAACATCCATGGGATGGGAAGGTACTATTTTCCCATGAAGGTGGGGCAAGGACGGGGGACATATGTACTGAACAAAAAACTCACTTTTCACACCTCCTGTCTAAGATTTTGTAGTTTTTATCATGTCTCCTCTCAGCCTTTATTTTTTTATTTTTTGAAGTATATAGTCTATTTACAATGTTGTGTTAATTTCTGGTATACAGCACTGTTATTTATTATTATTATTATTATTATTATTATTATTATTATTATTATTATTATTATTTATTAGTGAATATTTATTCATATTCTTTTTCATGATTGGCCATTACAGGGTGTTGAATATAATTCCTTGTGCTGTACAGTAGGACCTTGTTGTCAGCCTTTATTTTTTTAGATGGAAGAATTTCAGTCTCTTCTCTCCTGATAAAGATGTCACTGCCTTTGTGCTTTGCTTTGCCCTGCCTTCTGGTCTCCTAACCTTGTTAGATGGGACCCATTTTGTTGGCCTTCTTGATTATATGTACACATTGGAAATAGATGGGAATATCCTCTGCAATCAAGAGTAGTAAACAAAGTGAAAGGAGGCTGACATTTTTGGAATCAACTACACACCCAGCACCAAGCTACATGTTCTTCACACCACATTAGGGGTTCTTCATATATTGTCAAACACCTCTAGGGATGAGGCAGGCACGTGAGTGAAGAGGGTGGAATATTGTAGTTTTCTCTGTTCAGATATGACTGCATTTCACAGCAGTACCATTTATTTTATTCACAATCAAAAGGAACCCCTGTTGAAATTTCAGCCCCATTTTTCAGTTAGTAAATTTCTCAGCAGGCATCTCTGCTCTACACCCATGGTAACTCTTCCTGTGGGTCACTTCAGAGTACCCTGTTACTTTGTCTTCTTTTGACATAGACACATTTTACACTTTAGACATTAATAAATATTCTCTTCCACAAAGAGCATTGCTCTCTTACAATTTTCTTTCAGTACACAGCCCTCATGGTCTGTATTTGACTTTCCCACTTTTGTTAGGGATATGCATACAGAGATATTTCATTTTTCTCTTGGTTCTAAGAAAACGGCTACATAAGAGTGATGTCAAGTGGCAACTGACGTTCAGCTGTATTGTCAGAGTTTCCTTCGGGGTGAGTCCATGCCCACCCAAGGCAGGGACGCGTCACTCAGCTCCCGACAGTTATTGCCATTTAGGAAGTCAAGCCCAGCATTGCTAGATCTTCTGTTTATTAAGACAAGTCAGGAGTCCAGATTTTTCATGTAAAAGTTCCCAACTTTCAATGTCACCAACTGTATCAGTTAGGATACACTAGGCTAGCTATGCTGTGGCAATAAATAAACCCCCAAATATCACTGGTTTAGTGCATCGTACAGAGTCAAATGCAGGTCAGCAGGGTTCTCTTCCATGTGGTGACTCAGAGGGCCAGGATCCCTTTCTCTTGTGATGCTGCCACCTGAACATACGGTTTCCAAGGTCCCCACTGTAGGGGAAGAAAGTGATGGAAGATGCACACCAGCTCTTAAGTGCCTTGGCCAGGAAATGGCACACATCATTTCAGTTCACAGTCCATTGGTCAGATGGAGTTGCTTGAGTCTAAAGAAGGCAGGGAGGTGAAGGGGAGCAGTTGGACATTTGATGACCATTAACTGTTCCTATCATAGCAATTAATTCAGAGAAAACAAACAAACTAGCAAAATCTCTGGACAAATCAAACAAAATACAAACACAGTCTAGGGTCCAATCCAGGGGCTAACATACCAGAGTAATTATTTTCCAATAGAAAATAACTAGGGCTCAAAAGGATTGTGCCTTGCTCAAGCTAATGAATGTCAGAACTGAGTCCATATTTTTTATCCATACCTTGCTACTGGTGGGTATTTTGTATTGATTAAATATTATATAGGGGCCTCCAGGCTTCCTAAGTACCCCTTAAAACTCTTCTGTGTCTGGGATTAAATAGAATGTCACAAAGAACAAGAACTTTATTAATTCTAATATGTGACTTACAGACTTTGGTGTAGTCCAGTGGTTCTCAAACTTGAGAATCTGCTGGAGAGCTTGTTCAGGCACAGATTGCTGAGCCCCACCCCAGAGCTTCTGATTCAGTAGGTGGGAGTAGCAGGGGATACAAATTTGCATTTATAATGAATTCGCATGTGATACTGTTGCTGCTGGTCTGGGGACATGTTAAGAACCGCTGGTCTAGAACTGGGTCCTGGGTCCTAGAATCAGCCCAGACAACAAATTAATGACTTTGAGAGGATGACTTGGCCTCTGGGTTTCCATTGCCTCATTGGTACAATAAGCGTTTGGATCAATTCTACCATTTTATAAGTGTACAATTAAGAAATATCTTTAAAAAATACCAACAAACATTAAAATACCTGGGGCAGGTGGAAGGGGCATATATTGGCACAAAAGGAGCTTGAGGAAGACTTCTAGAGTTTTGGAAATGTTCTATTTTTGATCTGGATGGTGGTTGTATGTATATACCTAGGTAGAAAAATCATCAGGCTCTACATTTAAGACTAATGTAGAATATACACTTTAATCTATGCATATTGACCTCAATAAAAACATCAAGAATATGACTCTTTGGGGTTGGGTATAGCTCACTGGTAGAGCTCATGCTTAGAATGCACAATGTCCTGGGTTCAATCCCCAGTACCTCCATTAAAAAGAAAAAAATTTAAGGAAAAAAAAAAAGAATATGCCTCTTGCCAAAAAAAATTTTATTGCTTTTACACTAATTCTAATTTTTATTTTTAGTGTGATATAGCTTATATAATTTCTTTTTATTACCTTGCATAAATAATATCCACCAACAGAACCAAAAGTGGTGGGAAATAAAAGTTTCAACATCACCACGTTTATGTAGGGAGTGGATATTAAAACTGCTCCTCTTTCTGGTCCCAGGAGGAGACCAAGGTGATAAGGGATCTGGGAGTACTGCAGAGGCCGAGGTGAGACAGGAGAGCACGTTCTTCTGCATTTCACAAGCTCAGTCCGCCATCACAAAGAACTTTTGGTTCCCAAGTGATCTGGATAAATATCATCCAAATGACTCATTTTATTTGAGCATGGAAACATAAGGGATTTTTCCTGTTCCCAACTAAAAGAGAGAGAGCAATCAGAGTTATAATTCATTTGCACTGACTCAATTTAATGCATTTGACCAAAAAACAAAACTCAAAGAACAGAAATATTACATTGTGCAGTTAATTGTGTCTGATATTCTGGGCGTATGCCCTGGAATCCTGAAATGAGAGAAGAAGCGGGTGTGAATTTACTGATCTCTGAGTCAGGCAAGTCAGTCCTTGCCTCTCCGTCGGGTCTTGGAGCAAACGTGCACGTCTCTTTCCAGCTCTGCGTTGGGTGACATCACGTCGGTAGCTTGGAATTGGCTCTGGCGGGAGTATTCACCCCATGGATGTCAGCAGTGCTGCAGCTCAGGACGCTTCATTTCAGAAAGCCGGACACCCAGTGCGTCACTGCTTACCTGCCTCTTGTAGTGCACTGTCTTGGCACACTGAATGTGCTTCTAGCATCTAAAGGTATGGATTTTTTTGGTAAAACATGAAACCTAAGTGTGAGTCACTTACTTCATCAGTGCTCAGTTGAAGAAATAGGTAGCTGTTCCTACATAGTAAGAAAACTGGTTGTTTGGGGCTCACATAGAAAACCGGTTTTGTGTCTGCAGCTCTGTAGAGTAACATTTATGTCTAAAGCTATGCAGTGATTGATTTCAGCTTTCTTCAAATATTAATTCCTGGTTGTTCAAAGGTTAATCATGTGCTGATTTAAGACCATAGCTACTGTGCTGGCTGAGGCTTCTGGGCGGACTAATTCCTGTACTGTGCGGGTCCCAGAACAGCCAGTGATCCGTTCTGGTGTCTGGGCCAGCTTTAACTGGCATGACCAGAGTTGCATCTTGTTACATAAACCAAGGATACTTCTTTATTTTGGTCAAAACGTGATGTGCTCACAACTTACTGAGAATTATGGTGACATTTTAGGAGGAACATTCACTCTCCTGGAGGTGAGGGGCTTGGGAGTGCAGTCTAGGACTTGTATCTAATTAACTCTGAGATCTTGGAGAAAATTGTTTCACTTCGTTGGGCTTTGGAGTCTCCATCTCAGGGATGGGAGGTGGTAGTAGTGGATAATCCCATGTCCCTTCTAGCTCTGAAAGAAAGGAAATGTTAAACCAGCTTGCAGCCAGCTGTGAAAAGACAGTTGCACATTTAAATATGCAAAGTCTGCATGGTGTGGTTGAAGAGGATGCTATGTGCAACTTCCCTGGTACATCTCCTCTGGCTGCATTCAGTGAGTCCCAGCCTAGGACAGCAGGGTGGCACCACGGCAGGGAGCCTGGTGAAATAGCTCTGCCGCTTCCTAGCTGTGTGACTTTTATTCTCTCTGAGTCTTAGTTTCCTCACCTGTGAATGGATGGGTTGAATACCTACTCACAGGGCTGTTGAGGATTAAGTTAAACTAAGTATGTGAAGAGGCTTCATAAGGTAGAAAGCATATAACAAATATTACTATTATTCATCACTGTAGTTTGGGACATAATTTAAGATGTCAGAATCATGGTGACATTCTCCATGCTTAATAATAATAGGACAGTAGTCTTCAAAAGAGATGAATGTTCTGTCTAGAGCATTGATGTGTTTACAAAGATGAATTAACTCTTCGTAACTCTGAAAACAATTTGCATATAAGTTGATGATTAGAGATTGAATAATGGATTATTCTGTCTGGAATAATTTAAGCTTTTTATTTCTCCTTGTTTGTCTTGCTGATGGTACATACTAAGGTTAGAAGAAAATGAAAAGCAAAGGAGAGAGGGGTGCTGCTTGGAAAGGGACCAGCTGTCCACCTGGTGGTCCTCCTCGCCTTGTGCCCTCTTTGCCCTTCTCCCAATGCCCCCAACACTTAGTCACCAGGTCGTTTCTCAGGACAGATTCACATTATCAGAGTTATTAGAGTTCAGGGAGACTGATGTATAAGCCAGAATCTCATTTTATTAAGTTATAAGGAGATATTTAACTGCTGAGGGGGCTGAATATTCACTTTTTTTTTTTGCCAAAAAGTTCTAGAAACTTACCCAAATAACAACTACTTAAAACAGAAAACCCAAAATTACCAAATTATAGTGTCTTACACAAGATATAAGTTTCTCTTTCTCATAAAAAAGTCTGGGTATGTACAACATATGATATAGCACATGATACTGTTATCAGCTTTTCCAGGCTGATATCATAGTTTTACTGTGGCTTCTGAGACATAAGCTTTTACCCTTCTTTCTGCCATCCTAAGCCTGTGACTTCCATCCTCAAGGTCTTCTCCTGTTCCAAGATGACTGCTAAAGGTCAGTCATGATGTCCATGTCGCAGGCAGCAAAAGTCTGCTGAATGGGGGCTTCAGCAAGATTATTATTTTAATGATAGAGAAGGAAGGGCTCATCTGACATATGGGTTTTGTCCTTCTGGCTCCTTCTTTGAATACAGATGTGATGCCTGGAGGTGGAGTAGTCATTTTGTAGTCTAGAGGATGAAAGTCAAATGCTAAGGATGGAAGAGCAGAAAGATGCAAGAGATCTGGGTTCCTAATGGCATTGTGGATTTGCCATATTAGGCTTAAACTATTTACCTCTGAAATTCTTGATAAATGAGAAAAATAATTCATTATTTGGGGCTTATTGTGTGAGCCTCACTTTTCCTTCTCCACTCTTCACTCTTTCCCTTCCACATTCCCCTGTATTGTTATACTGTGAAATCAGGAATATTGAAAATGCATAATGCGGGCAGACATGATCAGAAAATGAGTTCCCAAAAGGCAACACATCACCTGAGGGGTGTAAGGGAAAAGCCATGAATTCTAGCACTGGTGTGAATTCTAGGCTAATGGTACATCTAAGAGTGGCTTAATTAGTAAGCACCAGATGCTCTGGACAAGCAGTCTAGAGCAGCACTTCTCAAACTTCAGTGTACAAATAAAGCAGCGAGGCACCTTGCTAAAATGCAGTTTCGGAATCAGTGGGTTGTAGGGAGAAGCAGCGCACCACGGCCCTGAGTGCCCCTGCGTGTTCTTGCTGGGTATGCCGAGAACACAAGGCCCTGACTGCTCTTACCTGGGCCATTTCTTAGGGTTGTTCTTGCAATGAGCAACAGACAGATGAGCTGATATCTCCCTCCAAAAAGAACAAAAAGCAGGCTTGCTCACTGCTCAGTACAAAAGCAGTGAATTCCTTATGCTTAGTATTCCAGCTGTGATATGAACAGCATCACCTGGGCCTTTCCACATCTGCCTTGTGGAACTTGGGGGTCAAGGGGAGCCAGTGCAAACCCGCATCATGCTCATGCTGCTTGTGTGAGTAGCAGAATGCTTTGTTTCTGACCAGAAGTCTTGTGTCCTCTGTCAGCATCCATGAAACAGTAACAGACTAACTCATTAGCTTGAAAATAGGAAAAAATCTCCAGTCCTTGATGCTGGCCGTGGTTGGGACCTGAGATTATGCCTCTCTAACAAGCTACCAGGTACATCTGGTGCTACTACATCTGGACCACACTTTGAGTAGTAACAATCTGGAGACCTCAAGTCAACAAGCGACTTCACAGTTGTAAGATTGCATTTCCTCACCCACAAGTGAGATGAGTTGAAGGTCTCTTCCCATTCTAACTCTGTGAACCCAGGCCCCAATTGCCATCCGCAGGTAAAGCCTTCCCCCGTTCATTCATTCCTTCAGCCTGCATCTTTCTACACCCATCATTTCCAAGGCACCAAGGATAGAGAGGTGAGTGACTTCTGGATGTGCTCAGAGTTGGCAGACAATGAGCAGTAAAAGCTACTCCAGAGATATACATATGGATAGTGCTAAACAAGTCACATGCATCCTTGAATTGTCATTTTTAGGTCAGGTGTCCATCTGATTTATTCCAAATCAGGGCACTTTTGAGAGTGAAAGAGGGTGCTACTAATAGTTACACTGGGATGACAGGCATAAATCTGGACAGTCTTGGGTCACCCTCTTTTGAGGGCCTCACAAAGCCCTCATTCCACCCAGATATTTTTTGTCCTAATTCAAATGAACATTTATTGAGCCCATGTTAAATGGGACGTGGTTAAGAAATGCCCCCCTCCCATCTCTGTACAATCCCCTCCTCTTTGCTCTTTTAGCTGGACACATCCTATGTCTCATTAGTTTTCTGCAATTATGCATTCTCCTCTAATGTAATGGTAGATTTGTTTAGAAGCTCAGAATCATCTTAGAAAGTGGTGGGAAGCCGAGAGATGGTCACAGCTAATTGGAGAATTTGCTTCATTTTGGACAAGTATTGAGAAGGACTCATCACTTCTGATGGAGGTGTTGGGCCGATCTGGTGCTCTAGTCATGATCAACAACAGTGACGTCTGCATAATCTTCAGTGGAAAAGCTCTGTGTGGATTAAGTTGTGATCAACTGTGGCTTCAGTGGCTTTTTCCACAAAGCTGGGAGTGTTTGACTCCATAGCAGTAGCCAATTGGAAAGCCTGTGTGTTCTCCAAGTACCTGTCAAGGGTGGACCTTAGGTCAGTAGTGAATTGTAGGTCAGCGTCAACTCTAGGCCAGTGATCAAGTCCAGGGGTAGTGTGGGGAAAGTCACAGCCAGGGTAACCAAGGCTCCGGGCCTTCCTGAGCGTGGTGCAGAGGCTGAGTGCAGGGGGCTCTCCAAGGGAAGCAGGAAGGCGGGCAGGCCCTGCGTGCAATCCCCTTTCCAATCCCCTCTTTGTTTTCCCCGCTCTTCACTCCTTTCCTTCTCTCCCTGCACGGATCCTCAAATGTCCTCTTGCATTGCCTTGAAGGCCCATCACTGAGTGATGATTTGCTTTGCCAGGCAGCACACAGCACCGAGTCATTGCATAATCCCCTCCAACATTCGGAATTCCTGAGCAGCTGCTCTGGAGGTGGATGGAAATAACCCACCACTCCAGTTCTTATAACCCATTCAGGAGTGAGAATGTTATTTTTAGGGCACAATGATTTAAAAGCTCTTGCTGGCCTGAGGGGAAATGTCTTCAATGCTTTAGGGAAATGAAGTAGATTCTCTTTTCTTTTCCAGCCAGTGTACAGTATGAGTTCTTTCTTTGTAGGAACAGGAAACGAGTCACTGCTTACCAGCACCAAGGGTTTTTTCTTTTTCATTTGTTTTGGGGGGACTATCTTTTTTTAACTGAAATATAGTCAGTTTTCAATGTTGTGTTAAGGGTTTTAACTGGTCATATCCATCTTAGAGAGTTTTGGACCATTGGAATTTAAGGTACTTTCCTGCTTTATGACCTATGCAGTAAACAAACTTGATATCCCTAATTCCACCTTGGTTTTGGGAGGATAAAGGTGATGTCTCTTGTTCCAAACTTCTCAGAGCTTTGTCAGGTACATGTGGAGTGCGGTTCTCTTAGTGTAGATCCCCACAAAGGCCCTGAGGCAAGGATTTTGGTGCATGAGGTTTACTGAGGACCACAGTGACTGAGCAGAGAGAGCAAGGAAGCAGATGCTCTTCAGC